TTCCAAGTAGCTGGAACTACAGGCGTGCACTACCACGCCTGGCTAATTTTTGATTTATTGCAGAGATGAGGTCTCGCCAAGTTGCCCAGGCGGGTCTCAAAGGCACAGGATTACAGGTTGAGCCACCGAGCCCGGCTTGCTGTGATTTCTTCAGGGGGCGACTGTGAAGGCTGAGGGCCGCCAGGCTGCTCTTGTCAGTCCCGGTGCGCCATCCTGGGTGACGAGTGGTGACCCAGCACCCCTGCCCGAGTCCCGCAGCTCTGGGGTCTGGGCTCTCGCCTGCTCGGCTTACTCATGGCCTTTCTTCTTCTTCCGGTTTTACTTTTGGAAAAACCAGCCAAGTGATCTTTCTGAAGACGCAGCCAGGCCTTGTCACCCCTGTGGAATCGAGTGAAGGAGGGCGTTGTTGACACGCCGGTGGGAGGAGCCGTGGGCCTGCAGTCTCTGAAGGAGAGCCACTCCTCCCCCACTCGTCGTTCATTTGCGCCCCCCTCCCCCCCCCCGTCGGTGCCTGGTCCCAGCCCCTGCACCTCTTTGACTGAGAGCATCTCCCCGCTCTGGCCTGCGGCTGGCTGCAGCTCCCGTCCACTCCCCCCCCAAGAAATCCAAACTGCTTCGGCTCCTCAGACCTCCCACCTCGCTCTAGACCAGGGGTCCTCAAACTTTTAAAGCAGGGGGCCAGTTCACTGTCCCTCAGACCGTTGGAAGGGCGGACTATAGTTTTTAAAAAAAACTACGAACAAATTCCTATGCACACTGCACATATCTTATTTTGAAGTGAAAAAACAAAACGGGAACAAATACAGTATTTAAGATGAAGAACAAGTAAAGTTAAATCAACAAACTTACCAGTATTTCAATGGGAACTATGGGCCTGCTGTTGGCTAATGAGATGGTCAGTGTCCGGTTCCATATTTGTCACTGCTAGTCGTAACAAGTTAAGGCGGCAAAAACACCTGGTGGGCCGGATAAATGTCCTCGGCGGGCCGCATGTGGCCCGTGGGCTGTGGTTTGAGGACCCCTGCTCTAGACGGTCCCTGTCCGCTGTGCCTGCCTGCCGTGCCCCTCTGGCCATCTGCTTCTCTCCACTCGCCTCCCACCCTCGCCGGGCTTTCGGGATGGGGCCCAGTGATTGCTCTTCCACCAGGCCCACCCACCCCCGCCAGCCATCCGTCCACCCATCCACCCACTCGCCCGAGGGTGGCCTCTTCCCTCCAGGGCCTGCCCAGATGCCATTGCCTCCCCGCTCAATGCTTGGGCCACCTTCCCGTGGCCTCTTTTCTGTGTATCCTGCTGGGCTGCGCACCACTGGGGGCGGGGATGTGTGCTTGGCATCGTTTTTGTCCTAAATGCACTGCCTGGCATGCAGGTGGGCACTTGGTCAGCACTGGAGGGAGGGAGGGAGGGATGAAGAGATGAGTGGAGGGAGGGTGAGTGGAGGGAGGGTGAGTGAGCACAACAGTGCGACTGATGGACAGATGGACCAGTGGATGGGTGGGTGGATGGAGGGTCAAGCGGTGTCTCCCATGTGAAAGCATGATCGTCTGTCATGGGACGCACACGGACGCGTTAGGCCTGGTGTGTTGTCCGCAGACCACGGGAGGAGGCGAGGAGAAAGACTCGGCCAGTCCTGGCAGTGAGAGGCCTTGGCCCTGTGAACATGGCCACGTTGTGGCTCTCTCTCCTGCCCTGGTAGGCTCTGAACTCTGGCGGGAGAGTGGGAACTTTCTGAGGTTGAGTTGCATAGTGCAATCAGGTTGAAGGGTGTCAGGTGCCAGGCACAGGGCAGGTCACAGCCCCACCGTGGCCGAGGCACGATGTGCTCGTCCTGGGCACCAGGCCCAGGCTCGTCACTTGGCCCATTTGCACGTGGACCCCGCGGAGCCCGCCACAGCAGGGCGGCGCAGAGCCTGTGCCCCGGGCGAGCCATGTGCTGACCAGCGTGCGTTCCTCGCAGATCCCGCGGCCAAGCAGAAGGGAGCCGGGGACAGGCTGAGGGGCCTCAGGGACCGCCAGCCTCGCTCCCGGCTCGGCTGCAAGATGTGGACAGCCCTCCTGCTCGTTTGGATTTCCTCCTTGTCCTTGTCCGAGAGCCAGGTGGCGCCCAGCGACCCACGTAAGTGAGAGGTGGCTGCAAACCCAGGCCAGCGAGCCAGGAAGCCCGGCCTTCCCCAGCGCCGGGTAGGGAAGGGTGGTCAGGCTCTTTCTCTGGGGCCAGTGTGGGCAGGGGGCCCCGGCAGGACCGGGCAGCCAAGCTGTCAGGGTCCCCGTGCCAGGCCCTCTAAGGTTCCGTGTCTTCCGTGAGGCTGATCTTCACCAGGGAGTTTATTCATTCACACGTCACACACCTGATCACCCCCCTGCCCTGCCAGATGTCGCTGGTCTCCGAGAATTTGTGTAGCAGATCCGTCCCCAAAGCCAAGCGTCCTTTGACGGTATAAATGTCTATGCAGTGATTTACCTGCTTTGTAAACCCGCCGGTGTGTTTAATGGGGTTTTTCGGTGGTGAATCACACCTGTCAGTGAGACTTTCACGCTGATGTTTTGGGAACTGGATCAATAGTGGACACTTGGAAGCATTCCATGGGTTGGGGGTTCTGGAGAGCAGAAGAGTTTTTGGGGGTTTTTTTAAGTTTTTGAGTCAGAGTCTCCCTCTGTCACCCAGGCTGGAGTGCAGAGGCACGCTGCTCACAACCACCCCAACCTCACCTGCTGGGCTCCGGCGATCCTTTTGCCTCAGCCTTCCAAGTAGCTGGAACTACAGGCATGTTCCACCATGCCCGGCTAGTTTTTTGGTTTATTGTAGAGATGAGGTCTGGCCAAGTTGCCTAGGCGGGTCTCGAACACCTGAGCTCAGGCAGTCCTCTCCCCTCAGCCTCCCAAAGTGCTGGGATGACAGGCGTGAGCCACCACGCCCGGCCGGGCAGAGGAGTTTTAAAGCCGAGCGCCCAGGGCACCCTCGAGGGCTGCGTGCTGGGCGGGACCGAGAGAAGGGGGACGCGTGTTCACACCTGCCTCCTCGACGCCCTGGACTGAGCAGAGGCCACTGCCAGGCCAGCCCTCTGAGCTGGGTGCTGGGTGGTCTCTGCCACCTGCCTGCACGTGACTGAAAGTGTCTCCTTCTCTTTTTCTGGCTTCAAGGCTACTTGCACCCTAATGAGATGGGGGGAAGGTTAGTCAGGAAAAACCTACCGTCGGAAACTACCAATAACAAAACATCTGAGGCGACGCCCACGGTGACAGCTTCTGTCCCGGTGACCCAAGGGACTTTGGTGGGCAAGCTCAACACTACTGAAGTCCCAGCTGAGGAAACAAACAGGACACATGGGGCGACTCCCACCACTGCAGGAGGCCTGACTCCCGGCACAGCCTCCAGGGTCTCCGCGACACGTGTGCCCACGTCCACACGACGGGCCCCCCCGGACACCGCCGCTGGGCTTCCGAGTCTCGGCACACCCCATGCACCAGTGCCAAGGGCCAGCGCCTTGCCGAGGACATCCGCCCCAGTGACACTGGCCACGCCCGCTCAGACGGTGGCCGCGACGACGGCAGATGCAGGCCGGCCCACGGGCCCTCGTGAGCCTTCCGAGCACAGTCCCGGGGCCTCCACAGCAAGCCCCACGCCCCCCATGAGGCCCCCGACGCAGGGTCCCACTGCCCAGCGTTCCACAGACCAGACTGTGCGTGATACAAGTAGGCTCACGTCCACCCCCTCAAGCTCGACCCCCGAGCCCACCACCACCCCCTCCGTGGCTTTGGTGTCCTCGACAGCGGTGACCACCACCCAAGCACAAGCCGAGGCGCCCGCGGCCAGCACAGTGCCAGCACCTCCCACCAGCCCAGCCCCTGGGGTGGAGGCCACGCCCCCCACGACACCACCAAGCCCTGCGCCATCCACCTGGGGCGCCGACAGGCCGGGCATGGCCCAGACACCCGAGCAGGACACCAAAGCCCCTCTGGGTCCTGCTTCCTCCGGGCCAGCGCCCGGGAGCTCAGGGGCCCCGAGGATGCCGGCCACGGACCCATGTCAGCTCAGCACCCCAGGGCAGTACCTGCTGGTCACCACCCAGCCCCTGGCCGAGTCCACGGTGGACAAGACTTTCCTCCTGGCCGTGCTCTTGCTGGGTGTGACCCTTTTCATCACGGTCCTGGTCCTGTTTGCCCTGCAGGCCTACGAGAGCTACAAGAAGAAGGACTACACCCAGGTGGACTACCTGATCAACGGCATGTATGCGGACTCGGAGATGTGAGCGGGCGGCTGGGCCCTGCCTCCTCGTGCCTCCGAGACCGATCCAAGTGCTTCCAGATCCTTCCGGTGCAGCTTAGGAGATCCGCCAGATGCTTCCACACATTTAACTGCTGTCAGATGAACTTGTGAGCACTAAAGAGTTGCTGCTTTTTTCATATTTATTTTTGTAAACGACCTGGGGCGGGGCGGGCGGGGCAGTAGGCCCTGGAGCTCCTGGGTGTTGGGTGCTGACCGGATTAAAGCAATGACCGCCCCACACCTGTGTCTGCGTCCCACCCAGTCACTCTCGGGTTGGAGATGGGTGTGGCGGGTGGTTTCTGTAAGTGTTTACTATGGCGCAGGCCCGGAGGTCTGCTGTGCCCCTGTCCCTTCCTCGGGCTTCTGCCTGGCACCCAGGCCTGCCCAGACGCACTCCGAGGAGGCTCAGGGGCCAGCAGGTGTCCCCAGCCGCCATCTCCAGTCTCCTGAGTCGCTGGCCCGTGGCCCAAGGGTGTCCTCAGAGACCGTGGGCGCCTCGGCCCTTCTGGGGTGTAGGCGAGCAGAGCTGGCCCGGGGCTCAGGGCCTCTGCCTGGTACATTCACATCCGGGGAATGGGGCAAGGGGCTCACCGGGTCAGTCGGTCCCTCTGCCGCATCCAGGGTCCCTGCAAACTGGTCACACTGTTCCTCTTCCCTTGCAGATGCTCCCCCACTGTCTGCCATCGTTCCATCTTGGGTGGCCGCGGGCGCCTTTAAATCATGGCATCCAAGGCCAAGCCCAGCATCGGCCCCCAGGAATGCTCTCAGCCCTGAACCTGAGGCATCCCCGCCCACCTGGACGGGAAACCTGGGTTTCCTGAATGTCCCTGCACTCTGGGCTGCCCCTGCCCTGCCCACCCCAGCTGCCTGCCCACTCTGCTCCCTGCCAGCCCTGCCCATCCGTCTGCCCAGTCACCAGGGACCCCTCCCTGGGCAAGGCCAAGCTCTCTGCCAGGGCAGCCCCTCTGGTGGGTCCCAGCCAGGCAGAGCCTGAGGGCCCCCCACCGCAGGCCTGTCCAGACCCAGGGGCCCCAGCAGCTTCCTCCCGGCCCTGGAGGACGCCAGACTGCAGGGAGCCAGGTGTGTCGTGGCCTGCATGAAAGTCACGTTCACACGGGTCATCAAGTTCTTCTTGGACACCTAGTGTTTGCCCGAAACTCACGGGGAATTGAGAGCTGACACAACCTGCCCCCGCCTTCCCGAAGCCCCTGGTTCTTGAGAGGCACAGTGGGGAAGGTAAACCGTAAGCTCAGAAGAGGGACTTCCCCGACCCCGGGGAGCTCCTGGAAGACTGCCTGGCAGAGGGGGCCTGGGCAGCAGGAACAGTGGCTCGTCCAGGGCCCAGCACAGCCCGGCACACGGCAGGTGCACTGTCCCTATTTCATGGATGGGAGTCGGATCCAGGGCTTGGCCCCAGAGGGAGCTTTCTTCCCTTCATGGTGAGGAAACAGCCATAGAAAGGCCAAGCTGGTTGCTCAGTCACCCATCAAGCACGTGGCAGGACAGCACCCGCCCCAGGTCCAGGGTCCGCTGTCTGTGGGGGCGGCCCCTGGTGCAGGAGCACAGGCAGCCCCGGGGAGGAGTCTCCCACACGCCGAGAGGGCGGCTGGCCGGTTTCCCTCGGGGTGGCCACGTGTCTCCTGGTGGCGGAAGTCCACGGGCTCCCCTGACAGCCAAGCCTCCCTCCCGTCCCCCT